GAAAAGGAGCTTTTTTTTCCTCCTCTTTCTGTTGTCAGTAATAACTTGTTTTGCATGAAGAGTGTTTAATTAGTTTCAGTGTGTTGCAATATTAACGAGCTTCTCGCCAGGGCAGATGTCTATTCCCCAGAAGCTCTCACGGAGCTATGGCAACCTCCCTGCCTGCTTCTGATGATCCCGTTTTTGGAGGGGGAACGGCGGCTCCCCCCCGAGGCTAGGCAGGCTCCGAGGAGGCGAAGCTTTGCCGCAGCGCCGGCGGGTGTACCTTGTAATGTGCCAATGTGTTGAGTTTCTTCCTGCCGTCCTCCACCACCGAGGTGTCGTCGAGCCTCGGGGGGCCGTCCCGCAGCACTTGGGGGCTGCACAGCCCCGCTGCCAAGGCCCAGGACCCTGCGAAACCAGGGCCGATGCTCCGCAACAGCCCCCAGGGCCAGCCCCTGGGGCAGGCATTGCCAGGCCAGGGCAGACCTGGATGGAGCTAGGAGAGGCGACAAGGCGCCGATCGCAGGGACAGGAGGAGCACGTCTCCCCCTTCCCCTCTCGCCCTGGAGGGCGTGTGGGACCCGCCTCGTGGAGCAGTTGCCGCATGGCCCGCACGTGGCCACCGAAGGTTGGCGGTGGCTCCCCGCAGGGCAGTGCTGGTCGTGCATCTGTGGCCGGGGACGCAGCATGTGCACCAGCCGAGAGGAGTGGGTCCCTGTCCCTGCTCCAGCCCAGGGCGTTCTGCAGAGACTCCCTGGGGCGCTGACTACAGGGATTGTCACGCCTTGCGGCTGTGGCCACCAGAGCACATCTCCATGGCCCACTGTGTGGCACAGAGGCACCGCAGACACCGCGGGTTTCTCTTGCCAGCATTGGGCTTGGATCCTTCTTAAATTCTGGGATAAGGAGTTGGCCGCTGGGCAGATAAATGACAGATCTGAACCCAGGGCAGGACAGGAGCCCACGGGCTCAGCTATAGCTATGGAGAGACATGTATTAACGAGGCACGTGCGGGCTCAGGGCTGGTTTAGAGGGTGCCTGTTCTGGGGCTTTAAAGGGTGCAAGCCCAAGCACCCCTCTGCTCAACTTGGGCTTTCCTAAAGCTTCTTTCCAGTTACACGGCTCCCTCCTGCCCACCAGGATCCAATCCCATCCCTCATTCCTGAAGACCATCCTCAGGAAAAGGCTGCCTTGGAGTCTGCCCTCTCGTCAGTGCTGCTTCCCCCACTGTCCTCTGGCTCCCGTGCAGCACCAGGTGCCCCATCTGGTTTTAAGGACTGGCTGGTGCAAGGCATCTGGTCCTTACCGAGGTCGACGTCTTCCACCCTCGGCCACTGGGAGTAGGGGACGTTCTTGCAGAAGGCCTCCAGAATCTTCTCCTTCACTTGGCTGAGTGTGTCTGTGTCCATGGCCCTGACGCTCAGGGAGTCCATCCCGCAGCCTTGGAAGGAGACGTTGAGGTTCTGCAGGCAGAGACCAGGTTAGGGGTGCCCTGCCCAGCTCTTCTGGCTCCCAAGTACATGGGGAGGCTGCTGCAGCTGCACAGCTCTCGCTGGTGCACGCTGGGCACCGCGCTGCTGGCAATCAGGCTAAGAAACGCAGCTATCCAGGCTTTGCCGCTAGTGAGGGGCACTGATTGATTTATAGCCCTTGGAGGCCGAAGGCCCTGGTTTGTTGATGGAGCCAGGAGGACACAGGGAGCAACGCTGCAGCCTCCTTTCATGGCTGCCTTGTCAGGGCTCAGCCTCTCCCTGACACAAGGGGCCGAGCTCCTTTGTCTAAACAAGCTTTAAGGATGCTGCAGGCTGGGTCTGCTGCAACACCCGAGTCCACCACCCGCACCACCCGTTAACCGGCTGGAGAACCTGCCCAACAGCGGGACAAGCAGCCACAAGGGGCTGCAGGCTGCCACAAACACCAGCTCGGACCCCGGGGATGCCCAGATCCTGCTACAGTCACTGCAGAAAGCTGCAGGGCAATGAGAGGGACTCTTCCTGTAAAACCCCCTCTCCTCCTACGGGAGCCACTGCCACGCCAGCCAAACGAGGAGAGGAAGAGCCCCGGGGCCCCCTCCTCTCACCAGCACTGCAGACCCAAACGCCACAAGCACAGCATCTTCCTCCTGCTTGGGAGCTTTGCTCTGGGATGGCCTCTGCTCTGCCTCTGCCCGAGTCCTCCGCCCCTCGGTGCGCCCGAACCCGAGGGCAGCACCGCGCCGTCTTCCTTTAGTGGTGGATGTGAGCAGGAACCCACCCGCCTGCCCGGCAAGCCCCGGGCAGCAGGCTGCAGACGCCGGGAGCGTTGCCTCTTGGATGGACACCTCATAGATGTGAGATCCGCAGCCGGGATCCTCACTGCCTCGAGGTTCCTTGGCAAACACTGCTTTTAAGTATCACGATGCAGAGTCAGCGTCCTTGACAATAAGAAGACCAATGTGAAACCACAGATGAAGCCCAATTTTTTCCCCTAGCACTAAAGGAAGATGTTTTTTCACCTTGTATACTGTGCAGGTGTTTTTTAAAGCAGAGGTCCAATTACCTGCAATGTCAGGGACCGCCAGTGAGTCTGCACTGCCCCTGCTCTCCTTCCTCCCGCATGCCCCATGCACTTTTGTTTCTCTACTTGCAAATGAGGTGGGAAGCAGCCGCTGCTCAGACTTACAAAGTCACCATTTCTGCCGAGAAAGCCAACACTGAGCCCTGCCGCTAACCCCCCTCAGCCTGCGCTATGAATTTACAGGTCAATTGGTAACAGGAATCTGCAGAGGATGCGGAGCTGGAACCTGCTCTGAGTTACGGTGATGCACATCTGGGGTAACCCCCTGGCTTCAGTGAAGCTGCTCCAGATTTATGCCGGGTAATTGAAAGCAGGGTTTGACCCAGGCTCTGGAAAGGCGTCTGCCAAGTTCTGTGCCAGGCACTGGAGGGACCCGAGCCCCTCACACGCTCGGCCCTCGGCTGCCCGGCTCCCGCAGGAGGCGTCGTGCAGAGCTGCTTCCCAGCTCCGCTCCCGTAACAGCCTGGGCAAAGCCCTGGCCCCGGGGCTCGGGTTGGCAGCCAGCCCCTTCCCACCGCGACTGAAGATGCGCTTTTGCTGGGAGTGGTAAACCTGTTGCTTCAACTCCCTGAATACGGCACAACAAATTTTGTTATCTATCTCCCCCTCTCCCCTAACCTGAGGCACCCAGGTGACCTGCCAGGGGACAGGCACAGGACAGTCACCACGAGCCTCGCTTTGTAGTCGTGCACTTCGGCAGTGGCCGGGGGGCTGCGCGGGGGTGCAGTGTGCGCTGCTACCGCACCTGCACGGGACCCACAACCACCCGGCCGGGCCGCCCGG